AAGATTGTATGATTAAATGGGCTCAAAATATAGGAGAAACTATATCTATGGATACCTGGGAGTTGATATGGGTGAGAAATGTGAAATTTACGCAAGCTCAAAACCTACGTGAGAATTTTTATAAGATGTTTTATAGATGGCACATGGATCCTGCAACTATGTCTCGCATTTATGAGAATTATGAATCCAAGTGCTGGAGATGTGGACAACTAGACGCAACTTTTTTTCATATGTGGTGGACTTGCAAGGTTATTAAAGCCTTTTGGATAAAATTGTGGTGGAACTTGCAACAAATATTTAAAAGAAGGATTATTTTTTTGCCCCATTTGTTTCTCCTAGGTATTACACAAAACTTGGATGTAAAAGAAATTAATTTGATGTTGTACTGTTTAACTGCTGCCCGTTTGCTGATAGCTCAAAATTGGAAGAGTAAAATTTTACCAACAATGGAAGATTGGAGATTGAAAGTTTCGCATCTTGCTGAAATGGCAAAGATTTCAGCTTATTTGAAGAATCACTCAAATGAACAATTTTTATCTATATGGAGAAGATGGATTGTTTATATACAAAAGAAGCATAGAATAGTGGAATATAACTTAGGTTTTTAATTGGTTCTTTTTTATCTATATATTTTTCTTTTATGTAGAATTTATATACCTTGTAGAGTTAGAGATTTTATTATTAATGGTTTACTTATATTTGAATATTATCCTGGGGTTAGGTTTGGGAAGTCTCGGGGGGGGGGGGTTGGGTGGGTTTCGTATGATATTTGTGTTATATTTGTATGTTTTTTTTTCTTATGATGAAAATAATAAAAAAAAAATTTTGAAAAAAAAAAAGAACTCAGATCCTTGGCCACTGACTCATACTCATGACCGTTGCTTTGTCGCAAGGTCCTCTGATCACCTTTTGAGAAGCCAAATCAACGGGGAAGCCAAATTCACTTAACAACCATGTTACTAACAACTCCAGGGATTAACAACTGTGGCAAGAGCTGAGCCCAGAAGAAGCGCCAATCAGCTGGAATGTCGCAGCATCTCCAGGGTCTTGTGATTTCCATTCAGATGCTTGGCAACTGATTCATACTTATGACGGTCACAGTGTCCCAGGGTCATGTGAAGTGACCAAAACCTGCTGCAACCACCCAGAAGATGGGGGGAATAAAAACCAAACACCCCCCACATCCCACCCCCCACTGCCAATCCTCAACAGAAATGCTCACAACAATGAAAACCTCGGACAGGAGGAAGAGCACCACCGGGTGGGCAGGCAGGTGTCTTGCTTGGCTGTGGCTTGGGGGGCACTTTTTTCAGTGCCATTGTAACTTCGAACAGTCACTAAGCAAACTGTTATAAGTCAAGGACTACCAGTACTTTATTACTTTTTTATTTTTCTTTTGGTCATCAGGTTTTTGACACCTTGCTGGTGGTACTCGGATGTTGCCATATCCTAAAAGTGGTACAATGGGTGAAAAGGTTGAAAAGCCCTGATCTAGTCCAACCCCCTGCTCAGGCAGGAAACCCCATACCATTTCAGACAAATGGTTGTCCAGTTTCTTCTTAAAATCTTCCAGTGTTGGAGCATTCACAGCTTCTGGAGGCAAATCGTTCCCCTGGTTAATTGTTCTGTCAGGAAATTTCTCCTTAATTCCAGGTTGCTTCTCTCTTTGGTTACTTTCCCTCCGTTGCTTCTTGTCCTGCCTTCAGGCACTTTGGAGAATAGCTTGACTCCCTCTTCTTTGGGGCAGCCTCTCAAATATCGGAAGATGCTATTGGTTTGGTTAATCTTCTGATGGTACTTAGATTTTGTTTTGAAGGGGGATTTCTGAGAGTTGGACATTGCTACTTCTGTCCAAGGAAGAATTCATGATTCATATTTATATCTCTGACGTCAACAGGCATGATGTCCCAAAGGTTTTTTTTCCAAAAGGCAACTGGACTTTCTTGGTTTTTCCTTGAAGACGTTTCGCTTCTCGTCCCAAGAAGCTTCTTCAGTTCTTCAGAAAAGAACTGAAGAAGCTTCTTGGAGGAGAAGCGAAATGTCTTCAAGAAAAAACCAAGAATGTCCAGTTGCCTTTTGGAAAAAAGCACCTTTGGGACAACCAGGCATGAACTAGAAATACAGACCTTGACAACTGCTGAAATCAAAAGCTTGCTGTTGTTTGTCTTCACACTTCCCTAAGCACACAGGCAAAACTGTCTGCCAAAATGGAAATAATAAAGAGGAAATTTTTGATGGATAAGGTGCCAAATGGCATAGCAGGGAGGAACACAAATGAGGATTTATCAGTAGTTAAAAGCCCTTGTCGTCTTTTTTGGTCGTTGCTATTTTCAATATCAAATTGTGCAATTTAGCAGGAACTTGCCGATATAAACATGAGATACGATTCTGAGTGATGTAGCCTTGATGCAACTGCCAATAACAAAATAAACACAAGGAAGTGAGGTTGGAGAGTGAAAGAAATGCAAAAAAGCAGGAAGAAAAATAGAGAGGCAATCTCCAAAAATAGTATTCTATACTACACTACACTACACTACTCTACCTTTTTATTCTTGACAACTGTAATCTTTCGGCAGGACTATAA